TATGGAGTCAGCACTCCCAATTCTTCTTTAGCACATGGCGAAACAGATGATCCACTGGGTTTGCAACATACCCTTCTACTAGACAAACACTCACCGTACCTGACACTTATGTTAATCAACGCTCGATCTGTACAAAGTAAGATGACACACCTACGCACCCTACTACTTTTAAACCACCCCTCACTTGTTTTGATAACGGAAAGTTGGCTGTCCTCTGATATCATAGACACATATCTACAAATAGACACCTATGAACTCTTCCGCAGTGATCGAGTCAACAAGAAGGGTGGTGGTTGTCTTGTTTATGTATCGAAAAATCTGAAAGCGGAAATCTATGGCGACCACGTCCTCAGCAGACTTCCTGATCCGATATGGCTCACTGTGCACACTCGTGAATGTAAAATACTAATCGGATGCATATATCAAGCTCCTAACAATCCTAGCTCAACTGACACAATTATAAGTGAGTCATTTGCTCAGGCTGCCTCACTTGACTTCACTTACAAAATTGTATGTGGTGATTTCAACCTACCCACCATTAACTGGACGACACACTCTGGTTCATTGTGCTTTGAAAGCATACTTAGGTCCTTAGACATACACGGTTGGCAACAACATGTACACCTGCCTACACGAAATCATAACATTCTTGACTTGATATTCTGTCACAATATCACACCAACTGTATACTCAAGTGTATAGGAAGCCCACCCACACAGTTCAAAGTCTCGACTACAATAGCAACAACCCAAGAGCTCACAAAATCAGTTGCTTAAAAGCTTTTTCCAAGAGGAGGAGGACAAACTGCAACACACGTGCAACACGAAAAATTGAAGAAAAATACCTGAATACCATTTTTCAAAAGAACGGCTACCCAATCAAATTCATCAAAATGTAGCAGCCGCACGCATCATCAGAAACAAAATCAAGTACACAAATCAACAAAAGGATCAACCCACCATATATAAAGAGCATATCAGAAACTACAACAAGACTGTCGAAACCCTTCAGAATAGGTGTTGCACACAAACCAACAAAATCGCTACAATCAATCTTATGCAAACCAAACGATGAAGTGACAAACATCATCTACAAAACAAATTGTGCCAGCTACGAAAGTCACTACATCGGGCAAAGCGGACGCCCTCTTCATCTTTGCCTGCATGAACACCAATTAGCAGTCGAATGCCATGTCATGTCCTCATTTATGTCAATGCACATGGACAACTTCGGACACACATTCGACTGGAAAAATGTTGACGTTTTCGGGAGAGACAACCCCAAGATCACGTGAGAATTTTCGTAAGCTTAGCATTCAGGTCAATTAGCAATCGACAAACACATTGAGATCGACCCACTTTATCGACCAATCAGGAAAATTATGGAATAATATGGGACCAATATTCAAGTGAACTGAGTACATAAGCCAGATTATATTTCGGTGTTGGGACTGTTAATGATGATGTTTTCTGACCATCTACGACGCCGGTGTATGAAGGTTAGCTGTAATATGGAAGACGAATGTGGAGAACCAGTGTTTTTCTGACGAAATCAGACTACTGCAATGTAACATTATTGAAACAAATTGAGGCGATGTTTATTTTGAGAGAATGACATTTAATCATAAATGCTGGGTAAAGAAACAAAATTGGCCTGGAATGGCAAGGTCGATATACTTTTTTGTCGCTCTAAACGCCGCGAACACCCTAAGTTAAGGTAAATTTAGCCAGCATGGTGACAGTGTCAGACAAGGTTTATTTAAGTTTCAGGGTACATGGACCATGTTCATCCGAAAGTGCATTAGCCACATTAGAAATTAGCTGTGATGTGACGTTTACTAATGCTAGCTTATTGGGGAGACTGCATATTAAATGTAAAATCAAGCGTACATCAGTTAACACTGAATTTGGCAGATCGTTGATTATGTACGCTAGTAGTAAATTCGTCGAGTAGTGATGCCTCGATTTATGTAACAACTGTCTACTAAATTCCCAAATGAAGAATAACAGATGGAGCGGGACCAGATAGGAGTTCACTCATGAAGTTGTGTCACGTATCTGACCTACCTGTGCCTGAGTTGTAAAATAGAAAAAGTAAGCCATTAAATAAGTACAATATCGCGGGAACACAGAGTGATGGAACAAAGATTTGAAGATGTATCTGAGCCACTTGCTATCAGAACGTCCTTAGAACGATCGGTTTGTGGTCCCGGATCACCGACCAATCGCGGAGAGTCTTTTCATGTTAGGGTCTAAAGGCGACACAGGAAAGGTATTGAGAAATGAAAATGATGAGTGGTTTAGTTGGCTAGCATACTAGGATAAGCAGGGTAGTAGGCGAGCACTTCCGCATCAAAAATTGTCATTCATCCCGTGGGAGTATCGGTATTGCATGACATTTCCCAACGAACATTCTAGAGGTGTTGCTAAGCGGAATATTTCAGCTGACAACATTTGTGTCTATCCGTAAAGAAGCTCTGAGAAGAACATTACTATAAGATCAGGCACCTCAACTGCATGATTTGTCCATGGATCCGTCACATTTACATTCGTTTCCGTTTAATGATTAGGCTTCGAATACTTTGGCTGTCGATCTGACCAATTTATTTCCGTTCACTGTTTTAATAGTAATCGACGCACTCTCTGACGATAAATCTAAAAGTCGTACGGTACTCTACTTGATAAGGGTTGCATCTGAGACATAGTCTAGAAACACATATCCACAAACTCCCTTATCCCCAGCTCTAAGAGGTACAGGAATTAAAACAAGAAAAACATCCTCTTTTAGTGACTCTGCGTAACCACAACGACTTTCTTTTAACCACTCGCTCGAATCACTCTAAACTCGAATGGGTGCCGATCCCGGTAACCTTCGATAGTACACACAACAGGATCTTTACAATCTACTGATCTGTAGCCCCTTTTAAGACAACAAAAACAAAGATCTTTTTCTCTTGCTTTCTCCCACTTATCGTTGACTGTTAATGTAGAAAATCAGGAACGTTTATCAATCAGATTTCTAGTGAAGTCTTCGTTTCATACTGGACTATGATTCGTTTATCTTTTAGCACCCGGCAAGTTGAGATTGGCTACAGCGTTGTCTACATAGGAGATATCCATGGATATTCGTCAATGATCTAGGCGAAATCCTCAGTGGAAATTTTGCTCTTATATGCTGCACTCACCAAATAAAAGAACACAAATATGTTCAGACTGGTAGATATTGCACTTCTGTAGGAAAATGAGGGAACAGTAAGCACCAAAGACTTCGGACGAACGAGGGAGAGAAGGTCAAAGCAGATGTAGTAGTAAATTACTCAGGCAAGACGTGTCCTCCTGAACCTTCACTTGACAAAGGGATTGGGCTATATGAATACGTAAAGATCGTCTGGACTGCATTCCCTACCGCTTCGCATACTGAAGTAGTTTGGTATTTGTGTGAATTAATGGTCCCTTTGTACAGGATGACTGTCTGATTTAGAATCCAAAATACAATACGTTCGTTCGTGTCCATCTAATACCCCTTGGTTAAATTGTGTGATTTCTGGGATTCTTAGTTCATATGATAATTCCAATAATTCAAACTATTACAAGCAGCATCAGGGCATCGTCAGTTTGTATATGTTCTAATACTCCGATTAGTGGAAACATGACGGTTGGTGATGTATAAAGTCTACAAGCCAGCCTCAACTTTGTGCTAAGTTGGCTTAAGTTGTGAGTAGTTTCCTCTGAGCACCAGCCTAAGTGATCTGTTTCTAAAGATTCGAGGACCATCTGAGTTAAGGAGAAATAGCGCGTCAACCAGCTAACGCCGAAGTTGCACCTCATGGTTATTACCCAAAGTGAACTAACCTTTCGTCGTGTTCAGGCACTGTGACTATTGTGCTGACCGTAAAACACACACACTGTCGTTACAGATATTAGTAAGAGTAAGTACAAGGAATAAGGTGTGACCACAACCGCATAGGTCAGTACATGACGTGCGATTAATTGATGCGCGTCTGTCGTTTTGACCTTAATGATAATCGGTAAACCTTCCACTATTCAGTGACCAGACTGGCGGGCGGTTTGGAAAGGCCCATGACAATTCACTCGCCCTACATGTTTACTGGTACGGTCAGGCATGGATACTGAACATATTGATGTCATTAGCCGTATCACAGGAGAAACATCAGCACAATTCGTCTTAACTCACGGCAATTTAATCGTCATGGTAATTCCATACCTGATGACCATTTTTCACTGCCGTCTGAGTGAAGTTAGAAGGCTTGGAATCTTATGGCTGTCAAGGCAGATATTCACCAATTCTGGCACGGACATATTCACCACTGTGTACATGACTCTAGTAAGATACAAACTAAAAAAACTGAGTACATGCCGCTTGTCCATACCTAAAACTTGGCATGGATACGGCGAAAAGAGTTCAGAGAACAACTAATTGAACAGTACTGGAAATTCGAGACTTTCCATACAGGGTTCAGCATGACAATTTAGGCCTCCTTACGCTCTCCCACAATAGTCTAATGAGCGCCATGATTCTGATGAACAGTTTACTCGGAGATAACCTTGAGCCTAGTATTACCCCTTTTATTCAATGAGCGGAGTAAGAACAACACATAGACTATAACCGGTTAGTTTGCAACCCAATAATGAACAGAATTGTCATGGCAACAGCTTTTCTTACAGATCCATCAGCACTAGTAAACCAATATTTGATAAAGTAGTGTCCAAAACTTCAGTTGAATCGTTCAGACACCCACATTAACATACCGGACAAAGCTTAAGGTAAACATCTCAGGCTATTGTCTTCAAAGCACCATTCTAAATTTCGGTCTGAAAAAAAACATCATCAAGCTTATATTATTACATTTAAAGGCAGATTGGATGGCACAATATTATTTATTTCGAATACAGGTAGTAAATAAGTAGCTTTCTATCTTTTACCAGTGATTGCGGATAACGTAATATGTTTTAATGCACCAATATCTTTTAAATTTGCCTAGGTAAATAGCAGGCGATTGAATGAGTTGTCAGACAATTACGATTTATCGCTTCTGCTGACTCATTGACTTAGTAGAAGTGAACAAACATGAAATACTGGTCATTAAATAACTCACTCAAAAACAAAGTATGCTTAAGAAATATTGCAATCTACTACATAAACAATCTGAGACGCAAATTATTTCGGATCAGTTCCATTTCATTACTCATCACATCGCTTACAGTTACATATTACATATCATATGCAGCTTATTACGAATATATGTTGAAGGAACTGAGTCTAGTAAATAATCACACATGTCAACACTTATTCTCAGGGAATTTGAGTTGGCTAGAGTACAAAGTGATAAGAAATATTCAATTACCATCAAGTGGGGACTACTCAAACTTGACGAACTCTCATGAATGCAGTCAATTCAAGTTATTTCGTGGTGAAGTCGTACAGTCGACAGTGGAAGAAAAACAATTCCCTCTTGCATTCAGTTTAGCCATTCATGAGAATATTAAACAGGCAGCTCGTCTCCTTCGTTTGATTTACAGATCACATAATTTGTACTGTATTCACGTGGATTCCAAATCACCACAATTTTTTTATGATGAAGTGATGGAGTTGGCTAGGTGTTTTGGTTCGAATGTGATAGTTGTGAATCGATCGGAAAGTGTGGATGTTCAGTGGGGACATTATTCCATACTGGAAATGTTCTTTCTATGTGCAAAGAAGTTGGTAAACAACAGTGAGATTATTTGGAGGTATATTCTGAATGTGAGTGGTCAGGAACTACCACTTCGCACCAACTGGGAATTGGTTGCCTTGTTGAAAGCAATGAATGGGTCAAATATAGTTGAAAATATGGGACCTGGGCATAATCCAGAACGTTGGCCGAATAAGAATCTCACTTTTCCGGTAAATTTTGTTGTCTTTGCTGTGTATATCATAATTTATTATAGTATTTATGATCTGCCTAGTCATGATTAATCGTGACGTTGTAATTCCAATGGAATTTACTGTAAGAGACCAGCTTACCGCTTCGGATATGCAAATAAAAATGAAATTGGATGAGATGTTTCGTAGTGGCATTTAGTGAGCTAAATGACTTATAGTAATTAAGCATAAGGAGATTTGACCAAACGCTTTAACCGAAACGTTTTGTGGGAAAGTACAGTAGTCAATGATAAATGATGAGGTTCGAAATTAGTTCACTGGGACTAAACAGTGACCAGTTTATATCATGTAAAGCCTATTAAGTAAATCAGAAATAATTTATAAAGAAAGACAAACGTCAACGTTTGTAAAGTGAACCAGAATTCTAAATCTTGCTTTAAATAAGATCACATTGGTGATAGTGTGAGTTGACATGTTATAATTGAAAGTGTAATGCTTGGTTTGATTGCGTAGCTAGCTATTTTTTGTCAAATAACACATTCCACTAAATAGTATCTGTATTTGTATAAAAACATGTTTATTTTATTTCTTATTAATATAAAAGGGAGGGAGAGAATTTTGAGAAATTTACTTTTACATGCCTTAGTGTATTGTCAGAAGGTTGACACATAATATGAAGTCAGTGTTTCATTGTTGGCATCAGTACAGTGCAATCTACCAGATAATAAATGAAACGTGTAGTAAACAGAACACGGGTAGAAAACAATCGAATGTAACTGACAACAAATTACAGAAATTGTTAATAAAATCTAACAACTATATATTAAATGCTCAATTTGCAAAATGTCCATCAATTGTCTCAAAATGACTCAGACTTCATTGTTCTTGCAGTTTCATACAAATTACATTCTGTCTTCATTCTTAACTCTTCGATCTTCTTGTTTCTCTGCTGCCAGACATTCTGTTCACGACTGACATCATATACTACTTGTGCCTACATAAGTAGCACACACCACACTACCACTGACACAGTTATTAATATTTTCATCCTTTCCACTATGTGAATCAATAGTCAAGATTTTCAATGCTAACAATATTGAATTGATTTGGGTACCTGATGATTCAGTTAGATATTGATGAGTAGTATCCACCAAAATGTTAGTTGTAATAAAAGTTTTTTCACAACTTAGTGTCCTGCTAAAATTGAAGGGATAAGATGAAACATTAAATGGCTTTTTCTTCGCTTTAATTGTTTCCTAATAAATGAAGTTATTCATCAGGTTTCATTAATATATCTAATAATCTTTAGATCATTTGGAGTAAAGGAAGTTTTTACGTAGCGTTAAGGCGCGATTTTGTTGAGTTCTATCAGAATGACCCAAAAGCAAACGAATTACTTGACGCAATGAAAGCAGAAAAACATTTACTGAAGTATCCGGATGAGTTATTTTTTTCTACGTTGAATTACAATCCATTACTTGGAGCTCCTGGTGCTTGCAAAGATAAATACCTCACAAGTGACTTTGATATACGAGCGATGTACATAGGACGTTTTGTAAAGTGGGCCTATAGACCATGTAGACGTGGAAAAGTTAGAAATGGTATATGTCTTATTGGTATTTCCATTCTTCCGAATATTGTTAAGCGAATGGAACTTTTTGCCAACAAATTTAGTGAAAATTTTGAACCAATCGCTTATGACTGTACAGAGGACTACATCATGGAAAAGGTTCTGGCAGAAATGAGAACTAATCAACTCAGTCCAAATTTCAATGTGAGCTTTTACTCACAACTCTATTGTTCACAGGACCATATACACTGAAGATTTACTAAATGAGTCTATGAGTTACTGGCTCGCAATATTTAGAATATTTTTGTTGGAACACTGCATGACCAATCATTCATATTTGGTATCCCTTATGTAAATTCGTTTTCATTTTTTTCTCAGTGCTATTGTCTATATTATTCTGCTCATGTGATTTATTGTATATAATGAAGCTCAAAATAGATGATGGAATAGAGGGTGAGATCAGCCACTGCTCATGGTCGATTTGTAGTGTATATTTTGATCTACATATGGATAACGTTATGTATCTGTCGATTTCTCAATTCATGCCTTATCTCAAGACAACATTGTATGAAGTCGAAAATGTGAGCCAATAAATTCTACCTAATTTATTCTGATGGTATCATATAAGCTGCTTAACTTGAATACTGTGAATTCTCGCTTGCTTTTGAGTTGTATCAGCCAACCAATGAGTGGTTCAAAATAAGAATTAACCCGATGTTTAGTTGTCTTTGGTTTGTTTTTCAATAACGGTACTAATATTAGAAAACATGTGTAAATTGAATTGCGAAAATTCTCAAGATTCAGATGTTTGACGAAACATTCTTCAAAAAGACCTGTTACATTAATAACATACAACATAAATAGGTCTTTACGTAAATACATTTCATGTTAAGACCAAAGATATGAAGTGTCATTCTGTAATCATATTTTGCAATTTTTGAAGAATTAAAATAATACAGAGAAACTGATGTATTATAGTAAACAGTCTTCATTTTTACACGGTAGAATTTAACAAAACTTGAGAGGCATGGTGGATGAAGCTTTGAAAACATGCAAGTTACCAGTTATTTGGCTTATTTAGTGATATATATGTATAGCATTCAGCACTTTCATAATAAAATTTCCTTGAGTCACCTAAGGACTCATAGATTTTGCTGCATAGAACAGTGAATGTAATCCTGAAATTATCATCAGCTTGATTGTGTTATATCTAGAGCTCAGATTTTTAATACATCGTGTATAACTTGAGCAACTCGGGCGCTAGAAACCAATAAGTCGCAAATGAGAAGACAGAAGACGAGTGAAAGGAATGCTACTCCAAACAGTGTCAGGTATTAATAGTTTTTAGCAAAAACGAAATCACCATTATAGTCCTCCGATCCGCATGCAAGGAATTATTAGCATTTGTTCAATAGAGAAACTACACGTAAGGATTCTGGAATAGTCTTCCCAAAGATGATTGTATGGAATATCTCCGGCTCTTTCTGAGCTTATTAGAGATTTCTCGAGTTTACCGGTGGACCATTCTCACAGATTTATTAAATCATATTCATGACATTAACTGTTAACACATTATAGATAATGGTTTGGAACATAAACCTTATCTGGCCAGTGTACTCTTCTTCTTGAGCGAGTGAAGGTGTGAATGTCCCGAAATCCATTAACATATATATATATATATATATATATATATATATATATATATAAACGGATTATCGAACACTCACTCACTCACTGACACTGACTCACACACACACTTGTGTTTTCTCTGCGTGCTTGCTTGCGGATTTTATCAAGCTTTAACAATAACATATCTCTATAAATGATGTTTGAGCTTTTGAATAATCTCGAGTAAATCGATAATTCTACTAGGAGACTTAGCCTGCATTAAATACACAGTCAGCGAGATACAATATATTGGAGTCAGCTTAAGAGGATCTTTGCCTCAACAAACTTAGTGAGCCTCTATAAACTTGGTGAGCCACAACAAACTGGTGAGCATCAACAGGTTCACCAGTTTTAGAAGATTTGATCGAGGTTGAGACGTGTTCCAAGATTTGGCTCACCAGTTGTAGCGTGGCGTCGAGTCCGGGTCGACTGTGAACACCACTACAGGAAAAGCGCGTACCAGACAAATCCGAAGGCGAAGAGAGATCGTAACCAGATTTATTCGTTGGCGATCTCGTGGTATCGAAAGTATACCGAGATCGTGTCAGAAGGAATACAAGCGGAATTAGTGGGAGAAAGAATGAATGTACAAGGTCACAGTCCACGGAAGAGTAATGGAGGAGAGTAATGGCTGTCTTTAGTACAGTCAAACAAACGAGCACAGTAAAACAATCACTGGTACAATTGGTTATAATAATGATTGTTTCCATTAAACCAATCGCGTTCTCTTGATAAAAGTAGGTCACTACAACTACTCTTTACGAATGGCTTTATATATGTTGTTTACTGAATAATCTAATAATCAAAAATAATCCAGGCGAGTCCAACAATTTTGTTGGATGTTTTTTTGATACTAAACATGTACATATTTTCACCGACTAGTCGTATAAATTTCATACAAACCGCTCCCAAAACGTTTTTGGTATAAGAAATATTTAATAGCTTTATACTGCAACATATTATTAAGAGAAAGTGTGTTGTTCAAAAACATTCCTTACTTCCAGTTGCTTTTGCCACGTATTTGTAAATTTTCTAATTTGTCATACCCCTACCTAATGTTCCATAAGTTCCATAAATTATTTTTCTGATCATGTTTACTATTTTTAAATTGTCATATACCTCACCAACTCGCATGACCCGTACATGCGTTGAATTATTTCTCGGTGCCTTAAATTTAAAAATCACCTGAATCGCCTTTAACATTTTTCACTAAACCCATCATAGTCATTATTGCTATACGTATTTGGGTTTGTCGATTGGTCCGCCATATAAGTAACATAAAAAGGCGAATATAGTTTAGATAATAAAGTTACAAATTTAGGTACTAACATAACTAAACTATCAGGTAGTTGTTGGCTAAACAAACATTTAAAATTAAAACTCCGGAATCTATTACTAAAATTAACACTAGACGTATATTTTTGAATTGAAATTTATAATATAACCAGGCAGTTCGGTTTCTTTAACGCTACAAATTTCTGATAATTTCGAATCATCTAAAGTAACAATCCTTTTTTTCACTGGCTAATCTTCAATCAGCACTATAATTAGTTAAACATAATGGTTTCGTCATGAAGCATTGTCATGACTTGACAATCACATAATATGATTGATAAAATTGATGAAACTATTGACAAAATCGGTTGGCAAATTGACTTATAATTATCATTAAATAGTGTCGTTTTCTCGTCATCTTCATTCACTACGGATTACTGCAGTACGTTTCTCTATCAGTTGCTCATTCAGTAAATATCTCAAAACCTTGTCAGTCTAATTGGAGGTTTAGCGACACAATCATGCATGCAAATAATCAGTGTAAACAGTCGAGCAAATCTCTTGCAAACCGTAAACATCAATGTCGAACTTACCCCGACACTGAATAAGGTTCAAGCCATTATCATAGACATGAGTTGGGAATGTTCTCCCCTTGGTTACAATTCATGTTCTCCCTGATAATCACATGAGCATCCCTCACTGTTAATCATCTTGTAAAGATTTATTTAGCCGAAGGCATCCTGCAGCACCGCATCACCTAGAAATGTGGCACATAGGCTTTGTTGATTTCAATAAGTTGTAATCATTATAACTCAATTACATTGTATTCCGCCTTATGCTAAACTGCATACTTGCTACTAACTTGTATGCACCATCAACCAGTAGGTATGAATATAAATAAATAGTTTGTGGCAAACCAGAACATTGGGTTTAGAGCATGTTTCTTGCGGATTTACTCATGTTTAACGAATTGCTCTTGGTTATCTATGCAAAATTCACACAATTATCACTTTTCACATATTAAAACATTTTTGATAACCATTCATATATATTAGTAGTACTACTAAATTCTATCACGGTCAAGTAAAAATGAGGTTGAGAAAATCTCTCCGTGACTAAATAATCCGTATCAAACTAGCTGAAACAAAAGTTGGAATTCTTCTCCACGGTTATACCTTTGTTCTTTCAGTTAGCCTACTAATACAGATTCAATTGGAAATCAACTCATATGGACAGCTTACTGGCATAAATGTTTGATTTCGTTATTTAAACCAAAACTAATATCAATATTAACATTTCTACAATATTGATTGCTTTTAATATTTATAAACACAAAATACCTACTACTTATAAGTTAAGTTAATAACCAACGGCTATGAACACGCATCTTACGTTTTATTACCAGTATTACGATGACTTATAAACCATGTCGTAGTTAATATTGATTTATGATGTGTCTTTTATAGGGTTCACGAATAAGTTTCTGTAAACAGAATCCGCAATCACTGAACAAATTATGAACAAAGTTATAATACATATTGTCGAGCAATATCTAAATGGTGCTTAATAATTTTTTGTTAATACCAAACGTCTAGGTGAAATATTAGAAGGGTTAGAAAATAAAGACCGCTGTTTACATGAAACAAGAAATTTATAGGTTATTTGTAACCTGCTAGTGAAGTCATAAATATAATGAAATCAGAGTTTTAAGGCAATATGAGCTGTGAAACCATTAACATTTCGTTTACATCATAACCTTGGTATAAACAAATGTCATAAAACTGTGAAGCGTTCACAGTCATATGATGGGGATTTGAAGCTCCCAGTCCTTGATACGACACAACCCTAGAATCAAATAACAAGTATTAATGAGTTAATTCTTGAATTCCTACTCTATTACAGACTGACTCGGCATAAGTCCAAAGTAATTTTATGCAAAATACGTGACGAAAAGTGAACAAGCAGTCGAACCTAAATCACAATTTTATAGCACTCATATCTCCATTTTGCCACATTAATTAGTCACATTTTCCTCACAAGTCGAACCATGCCTGTATGTTGTGATCATAGTAACTACAGAAATTTGTAAATAACACTAATTTGTGATGTTTCTGTTCTAAAGATTACCAGTGAATTTCTATTAACGGAATACGAAATCTCTAATGAATAGCACTGTTTACAAATAAGAGACTTATACGTACATTCTGTTACCTGCTATTTGATTAACTTATTGAATTTGACACTGATAACAAAGTTTAATTTTTTGTCTCAAGACTGATTTGTTGTTTTTCAGAATAGTATGAAGCTTATGGAATTTATTATTGTAGCAGATCATGTGTAAAACCGGTTTCCAAGTTTACGATAACTGTTTTCCAATCAACCAATAAAGGGGGAATAAAGGGGAAAATGCTTTGGTAAAGAAAGGGGAAAACGCGCCAAAATGTCGCCTTTTTCGCCTGTCTAGGGGAACTAATGCGGATTTCCCCTTTTTGTCGCCCTGTCACGAAATTGTCTACTTTTCGCCTAAATATCCGCCAAACTGTCTACTATTCGCCTAAATTTCCGCCGAATTGTCTACTTTTCGCCTAAATATCCGCCAAATTGTCTACTTTTCGCCTAAATATTCGCCAAACTGTCTACTATTCGCCTAAATTTCCGCCGAATTGTCTACTTTTCGCCTGAATATACGTTGAATTGTCTACTTTTCGCCTAAATATACGCGGAATCGCCAGCTTTTCGCCTTTGTAATTACCCAAAAGGTCTCCAAAATTCGCCTTTATTTATACAACCAACCACAGTGAAACTGCAATGTATGGGAAAAGCGCTAAATATGTTTAAATACTTTTATTTTAAAGGAAAAGCGTTTTCTTGTACAACATAATAGCGGAAGCTTGAGCATCAGTCGTTTAGCATTTCAATTGTAATTGCCAATTCGTCGTGCTTTGAAAATATCTGAAACAGAAGAAACATGTTGTGTATTATTTATAACACATGTGCATTTAATCGAAAGTTCACTGACAATGAGTAAGAATT